CACTAACTTTTGGAGTTGAGTGCAGAGATACAAGATGTTATCAAACACATACAGTCATGTAATCACCACCACAGGAGACAGCAAACTCTGGACCTGATCTCAGATTGTTTGCCAGTGTTTTAAAATAATTTCATTGAAACACATTCATGCCCATTTATTGCAAAGCCTAAATTATTTGTTCTCTGGCCCTTTACAGAAAAGTCGTTATAATTTTTTATAAATGCCCTTTATCAAATTAAGAAATTTCCCTTTTATTCATACTTTACTGAAAGTTTTTATCATGAATGCATCTTAAATTTTGTCAAATGCTTATACTGCATCTATTGAAATCATCACATTTTTTCAAAAATCTGTTGATGGGATAAATTATGCTGATTGATTTTTAAATATTGAAACAACATTTCATTATCTGGAAAAAACATTACTTGGTCATGATTTATTTTTTTCATATATATTGCTAACTTTTATTCACTACTATTTATTGAGGATTTTTGTGCATATTTATAAGGGCTATTGATGTGTCATTTTAAAGAGTTTTGTCTGATTGTTTATCAGTGTAATACTTGCCTCTTAAATGTTTCTTACTGTTGTGTCTTTGTAAGAGTTTGATTAGCACCGGTATTATTTTTTCTTGAAATGTTTGGTTGAACGCACCATGAAATCAACTGGACCTGAATTTTTTTGTTGTTGGAAGGATATTAACTACATGTTCATTTCCTTTAATAAGTATAGGACTATTCAGGTTGCTTTATGTTCTCTTGAGTGAGTTTTGAAGTTTACGTCTCAGGGAAAAAAAAAAGCTCATTTAAGTTCTGAAATGTACGAGCATCCAGTTATTCATTCTAGTTGCTTATTATTCTTATAATATCTGTAAGATCTGTATTGATGTTCCTTCTTTAATTTCTGATATTGATCATTTATATCATCTTTTTTGTTAATCATTCTGGCTAGCGTTTTATCAATTTTATTGACCACTTCAAAAAACTAGATTTTGTTTTCATCGATTTATCTTTTGTTTTATGTTTCAGATTTTATTGATTTTTGTTACCTTTGTTATTTTCTTCTTTCTGCTTGTTTTGGTTTAAACTTGCTCTTCTTTTTATAGTGTCTTAATTGAAGGTGAAATCACTGAGTTGAACCCCTCATTCTTTTTTAATAAAGCATTCAGAGCTGCACATTTCCTCTAAGTACTGCTCTAGAAGCCTCACAAAGAGTTTTTAGTTGTGTCTTCGTTTTCAATCTTTTCAAAATATTTTTAATTATTCTCATAAATTCATATTCGAGCCGAAAGAACTATATTGTTTAGTTGAAAAATATTTGGGGATTTTCTAGGTACATTTAACTATTGATTGGTTGTTTATTTATGTTGTGGTCATAGAACTTACTTAGTGTGATTTCAACATATATAAATGTGTTGATGTTTGTTTTAGGGTCCACACTATGGTCTATCTTGGTCAATGTTCCATGTGCACAAGAAAGAAATATGTTTTCTGCTGTTGTCATGTTGTTGATAGTGTTGTTCAGGTCTTCTATATCATTACTAAATTTCTGTCTGCTGGTTCTGTTGGTTACAGAGAGGAATGCTGAAAGCTCCAATTCTAATTCTACTTTTCTTTGTTTCTTATTTCAGTTTTAATCGTTATGGCATCTTGTATTATAGGGTTCTTTTGTTAACCATAAGCACACACAGAATTTTTATATCTTCTTAGCGAACTGGCCTTTTTATTTTTATGTTATATCCCTCTCTATGCCTAGTAATATTGCTTCTTGTGAAATGCATCTACTTTTATATTAATGTAGCCATGGGAGCTGTCTTTTAATTATTGTTTTATGTTATTTCTTTATTTTTCCTTTACTTCTGTGTAATGAAGTAAAGGAATAAATTGTAATAGAGTTGTGCCTGTACTTTTTTTCGTGTATGATCATCTCTGTATTTTCATTAGTGTGTTTAGATCATACATTTCATTGAGTATAATTATGATATGGGTAAACTGGAAGTCTACCCCCATTGCTATTGTTCTTTCCTATTTATTCCATCTGTTCTTCATTGCATTTTTCCTTGTTTGCTTGTTATTGGATTAAATATTTGTATAACACTATTATTTACATTTATGGCTCTCTACTCATATATTTTAAAATATTTAAAAGGATGCCATAATATTTACAATATAAACTATTAATTTATTACATTCTAACTTCAAAAATATTATTCTGCTTTATGTGTAGTCTAAGAACCTTATGATGGTAGGCTTGTAATTCCCCTGTCTCATCTTTTGTGCTAATGTCATTATACATTTTACTTTTACATATGTTGGAAATTACAATATATTGCTACAGTTTTTACTTAGGCAGTAATTATAAGTTAGAAAACTTTTAAATAAAAATATATATTTTATATGTATAACATATCTTCATATGTATATGTATATACACACACACATTTATGGACATAAATCTTCATTTTTAAAAATAAATCTAACTTTCCATCCAATATTATATAACTTCTGGCTTAAAAATATCCTTTTAGTATGTCTTTTAGTGTGGGTCTGACAGAAATAAATTGTCTCAGATTTTGATTGTTTGAAGAAAAAGTCTTTAGTAAGTATTTCTTAGAGCTATTTGTGTTGTATATAGAATCCTGGGTTAATTTTTATTCTTTTTCTTTCAGCACTTTAAAGATGTCACTCCAGGCCAGGCGTGGTGGCTCCTGCCTGTAATCCCAGCACTTTGGGAGGCCAAGGTGGGCGGATCATGAGGTCAGGAGATTGAGACCATTCTGGCCAACATAGTGACACCCCATCTCTACTAAAATACAAAAAATTGGCCAGGTGGGGTAGTGTGTGCCTGTAGTCCCAGCTACTTGGGAGGCTGAGGCAGGGAAATCGTTTTAACCCAGGAGACGGAGATTGCAGTGGGCCGAGATCATGCTACTGCACTCCAGCCTGGCGACAGAGCAAGACTCCATCTAAAAAAAAAAAAAAAAAAAAAAAAAAAAAGTTACTCCATTGCCTTTTATATACTTTTTACACCAGAAGTGTGGTGTCAGTCTTACTTTTCTTCCTTTTTTTTTTTTCTTGGCTGCTTTTGGTATTTTTTCTTTATCTTTTGTTTTTGACGGCTTGAATATGATGCATCATGGTTTGGTGTATGTGGGTACATATGTGTATGTGTGTTTTGGAAAGTTATTCATTCCCCCTATGCAGAAGACTAGCAACAGCCTTTATGCCTGAAAATGTACATGTCTCTTCTCTTCTATGTTAGTGTAGAGGTTTGAGGCAGTAAGTCAGGAGTTGAGTTGGGTTTGGGTTTTGTTGTTGCTACGGTCAATTTCAGTGCATCACATGCCTCAGCTTAGGGTGGAAAAGAAGATTATTCTCTTCTTTTTTGGAGAAGGTGGTTCCTTCTCCACCTACAGTTTTGACCTTCCCTGTGCATCTGTGCCTCAGAGGCCCTTCCTCCATTGGTTGTCAATTGCTGATTGTTCCCTGGTGTTTGTTGGCCTAGTGATGCAGGGCAGGAAAACTCTCTGATGTCCTCATCTGGGGTCAGACTTAGGCAGGCCTATATCTGAGTGCTAGGGATGGCACTTTCTTCATGATCTATGCCCTCCTTTTCATGGCAAACATGGCAGCTTACGTACAGGGAAGTTTTTCCTGCCCCTACTCTACTGGTGTTGCTGTAAACCTGAGACCCAGGAGTGTTTTCTATCTCTTCCACCAGGCTAAAGTGTTTGCTCCTTAGGGGAGAGGAGCCTGGGTAGGACTCTGTGCCTCTTCCACAGAATCAGCCTCTTTTCTCCTCCGGGCTTGAACTATAATATTTCCCTTGAGCTTTGGATGGGGTCTGTGAAGAAGAGCATGCAAAACGGTAGAAATGTTCCTTGTGACTGTGGGTCCCAGGGATTCTGGTCTCTCCTGCGACCTCACAGTGAGCCTAATGTCTTGGATGGTACCAGTGTCTCTTCCTTGCCTACTCTGCCGCAGGTGAGCTAAGGCTCAAAACGTGGATGCTTTAGAGGAGAGTGCTTATATTTAAAGTTTAGATTCCTTGGTTTCTCATCTCTCTGATGCATGCTTGGAAAATTATAATTTTATAATTTAAATTTTTCTTGAGTCAGTGGAGGGATAATACTTTTCCAACTTTCTACATCCTACGCAGATCTTCAACTCGAAATTTCATGTTTCAGAATATTATCCTAAAGAACTCTCATTGTTTGCTTGTGTTAATGTAGTTATGACATCATCTTTACCCTTTTAATATTTACTGAATCTAGATATTTTGATCTCTCTCTCATCATTAGGCTCTAAATATGGAATTATAAAATTTTAATAAGATAATGGAAATAAAATAATGACCTACACTAATATTTTGTAAGTACTTCATAGAACTTGAAAATAAAGCATTTCCTATTAAAAATTAAAAATATATTTTTCTAGATACAGCTTTAAAGCTATTGCTACATATAAAGTATTTTAATGAATTACCATGAATGCTATAACCATCATTTCTCAAGACTAAAGTCCGGTCTCTGAAGACACTAACTGCTTAAAGAAACACAACAAGGTATTCCACTTATTGTCTGAAACCAGTTATGATTGCTAGATACACTGATTTTCATGATCTTTGAGTCATTTTGACTTGGGAGAAAAATATCTGTCAAGATATCTGCTTTTTAGAAAATGTTATTTTGCAAGGGAAATATATAGTTATAAAGGAGCTACAGTATAACTCAAAAACTACATATCCTTATGAATTTATCAAATGGATAAAAGAAAGTGAGGCTGTCCTAACAACATCTTCCAGAATTAACTTAGTATCTGAAAGTCTTAAAATATGGCTGGGACTCAATATTATTACCTATAAAAAAAATAGAAGTTGCATTCCAGTATAACAATGTGGTCTCTTGCAGCTTCGAGATCTGTAATTGTTAAATTGTATATTGCTTTTTTTTAGTGATTCTATTGAAACCATACTTATAATGAATCTTTCTATAATTGCAGGTTTCATATGGGGAGAAATTAAACAGATGTGGGATGGCGGACTTCAGGACTACATCCATGATTGGTGGAATCTAATGGACTTTGTAATGAACTCCTTATATTTAGCGACAATCTCCTTGAAAATTGTCGCGTTTGTAAAGGTAACTATTATTTATGTTGTTGGTAAAGCATATGTTCTGATTATTAATGATATACTTTCAATTGATATTAATTTTATTAATAAAGTTACCTAGAACTTTTTCTGGATGTAGTATTCATCAGCTCATGGTTTTATTGATAGATATATAGGCATAAAAATACATAAGTAAATGCATAACTTTAATCACAAAACAAATTTTTATAAGTAGAAGTTATCACCCAATTCCCTTGCATCTACTAAGTAGAATGATGTCTCAAAATTATTCACGGTAACTGCTCTAGTTTCTAATCCTTTCTATTTCTACTGAAATTCTACTTCAAACACTGTTTAAATTTTGACAACCCAAATCTATTTTCTTCAGTTATAACTAATAGATAAAATTTCATAGACAGATCAAAATATTACTCTTTCAAAGCATTGAAATTATTATTCAGTATAAACTAATACAATTTGATATAATTAGAGCAGAATATAATTTCTTTCTCCTCATCCCATTCAACTTGACAGTGCCTGAAATCTCACACACTCATTACTCCCCCAGATTTTGTACACCATCAATCTTATCCCAACCTCATAATTTGCATAAAACAGTTTTGTTCTGTCATGACAATTGGGATTATTTTGTACTTTGTTGGGTTTCTTTCAACCCAAAGGATTATCTTCTCTCCTTCACTGATTTTCCTTTTCCCCCTTTCCTTTTCTCCTTTCTTTTAAAAAAATTTTTCAAAATGACTACTTAATTAGTAAAAAATAAATAAATAAAGAATATCGAATTGGGTATGACATAAATAATGCATTCAATTTAATAATCTGAACTACGAAATTCTAACATGTAGACACACTTTTATTCATTTAGCCTAGTTCTTAAAATAACGCCCTCTGCTTCTGTGGGCAACCTTCAGGTATGACAGAATTAAAATTGTCTGAAGTTGGAAAGGCCATAGTTTTCAGTTAAAATGCTACCAGTTCTCACCAAAATACTAGGGGAAAGCAATTTCTGTCAATTTTATGGAAAGCAAGTATATTTTAAAATGAAAACATAATTTGGTAATTTTATTAATGCATTGAGGTAAATGACCTTGAAAAAATTAAGACAGCAGAAAGTACTCTTTTAACCAAAGGAGATTATGCATCTCTGTAAGAGGTGGGCAGTCTGTGATTAAGCGCCTAGCTCTCCAGTCCCCTTCTTCTATCATGATCCTTAGATGTATACATAAAATTGTTTAGACCTACTTCTAAAAGTAATATAGGTAGTTTTTTGTGGTTTTGTGCTGTTATGAAATTCTGGGATTATATCACAATAGCAGTTCTTCTCAAATTTCTAGGTGGATAAGAATCATAAGGAGAGCTTGTTGAAATTCAGGCTCCTTTTCTCCATCACCAGATTTAAGTTAGGCATACTAGGACAAGGTCCAAATTTGCATTTCTAACAAACTCCCAGTTTATATTGACACAGTTGATCTAAGGAAGACACTGTGAAGAACATTGCATTGTATAGACCTGTTCTACAGCTCAGAGAAATGTGAGATGGAGTCCAAAAGAAACTGCTATTATACATTTATTTACACAATATTTAAACTAAGCTATATCATGTTTGTATTTGTTACATTTGTATGATGTTTATATACAGCACATATATTTTTTCCATATATAAGAACTCTGGTATGTAGTGAGTATGCTTACATAGATTAATGGATATTTGTGGATGTTTTGCCTCAAGACTTTTAGATGTGGGATTTTAATTTAGTTAAAAAGTTGTAAATTCTACACTGGCAAAATCTATTTTACCATTGAAATCTAAGCATTGTTCTTTATGTTTAGAATTAAACTCACTCACCCCCAGTGATGAAGAGGAGGGGGCAGAGGGGGAAACGGGATATGGAGAAGTGCACAGTAATTACTGCAGATGAAGACGACCTAAGGAATGTGAAGTCTTCAAAAAATACATAGTTTGTTAATATATGGTCATAGGAGTTCAGCTATAATTGGAAATATAAACCATGACATGTCCTTTCTGAAGGATTTGCATTTAGCACAATGTATGTGTTTGAGTTGGGTGCATGTATTCATTGGCATGCACTGTAAAATCACATTTTTTGTGCTCCTTTCCTCCATCACTTACTAGTTGGGTGACCTTGAGCCTGTTTCTTCACCTCTTTTAGTCTCATCCATAAAATAAGAAAAATAATTTCTACCTTATGCTGTTGGCATGAGAAGTAAATCAGTCGATATATGTAAAGTGCCTGTTACAGAATAAACACACTAAATTAATTTTTCCTTTTTTTTTTTTTTTAACTTTTGTCTTTGCTTTCTTCCTCATATACTATGAGTCCACTAGACTTGCCTTTTGTAAGGTCTTTAATGTGTCTCCTCATTTGCTTTATTTTAGTTTAAAAAGAGTGTGAGCTTTAGGTCCATACTTGCCTTCACCATGTTCAATCTGTATGGTATGGGGCAAGTTATTGAATGTGGGTATCAATTTTATCATCTGTAAGTTGATGATAATAATCAAAAGATTATTTTTGATTTGATATTTGTGGGACCTGTGATGTCACTGTGACTTTTTGATTTTTCCTTCCTTACCTTACGCTTGTTCTGTCATTCAATTTTTTTCAGGCTAATTTGTAATAACTTATAAATTATTATTTTAAGAACAGGTAGGTTATTTGCAGGAAAAAATAGAGTCTGATGTAGATAAAGCAAACAGCTATTATGTGAATCAAGAAGCTAATTAAATCAATAAGCATTTATTGGAGCACACTAAGAAACAGCTTTTGATCTGGTTGCTGAGAATGCAAATCTGCCCAAGAGGTAGCTCTTGCCTTCAACTGGGTCACAGTTAAGCAGATGAAAGAGAAATGCATGTAACCAAGGATCTTACAATGTAGTAAGGTCTATAATAGGGGCTACTGTAGCATGAGAGAAGGAACTGAACTTTTCTGTAATGGCATGGAATTATCCAGAGGACAGTACAAGTGGACATCTATCATGATCATGAACATGCATGAGCATTCAAGACAGAAAAGGCACAATATGCAAAAGTGACAGTGTCTAGCAAGCAGAGTTCAATATCTATTTTGGATTATCCTAAAAATGTGGGCAGGGAGAAGGTGAGAAGGACTTTCCACATCTTGCTATCGGGCTTAAATTTTACCCTATAAATTATAAGGATCCATTTATGACATTTATGCAGAGAATGGTTCAAATGATGATGATTGCCTGAAATACAGCAATGAACATAAGAGAAGATGATAGAAGATTGGACTTGAACAAATTTAGGTAGTAAGTTCTGGGAGATATGTGATTTAGTAATTATGAAATACGAGGTAGATGAAATCATGCTAATAATTCTCCTTTGTAAATAGATTCACCTCTTTTGCTTCAGACGGGATTACCAGTGTTATAACTAGGACCTCTGCTGGGGTTGTATAGGTTCTACCTCCTGTCTGAGGATTCCTGAACAAGAACAAAATTCATTCACAGGTCATTTTGGTTAAGTCATAGAACTGGACCAAAAAAACTGTATCATCCTCCAAAAAAGGGAATCTTGTTATAATTCTTCTTTTCAGAAAGAGAACCTTTTAGAATACATCTGTCATAGGGTCCACCCTTGTTTAATTTGCCCATTGTGTTACTCACCTCGGCTTGTCACAATAGAATACCAAGAAATTTATTTCTTGCAATTACAGAGACTGGAAGCCTGAGATCAAGGTTCCAGCATAGTTGGTTTCTGGTGAGGTCTCTCTCACTGACTTGTAGAAGGTTGGTCACATTCACCTGGTGGGGGTGGGGCGTAAGAGGTTGGGAGAGAATGCAAACTTTCTCTCCTTATAAGGTGTGTCTCCTTATAAGGACACTCATCTCATCATGAAAGTCCACCCTCATGACCTCATCTAAACTTAATCACCTCCCAAAAATACCATCTCCAAATACCATCACACTGGGGGGCTCAATTTGGGGAGGTGCAGTTCAGTTCATGACACTCACATTTTTGCAATTCATCTACTTGCAGGAAAGATCTTTCTTTAAAACACACACAAAACAGACCTTCTAACCAAGGCCATGGGACTGCTGTGACTACGACTTATATCACTTCCTACCTATGTGATTTGGAGCAAGTTACTGAATCTATGCCTCAAATTTCTCTGCTGTAAAACAATAATAACAATAAAACAGAATGTTTATGAAGATTAAATCAATAAACATTTAATGTCATAGAATAGAATCTAGTATAAAAATGCAGTATTGGCTCTTAATTTTTATATACAATGCAACAGTATTATAATGTGCAAAGACAGAGCATAAAAATATGTATGGCTTCAATATTATCCATTTTACATGCAAAGTTTTGTGGTGTTTTCTTGAATATCTTGATTTATTAGCATTTTAAAGCTCATGGGTTGTGAATTTTAAAAAATTTGCTCCTAATCCTCTAGAGGACAGTTTGTCAATCATTTTCTCTTTTCACTATGTATGAAGTATTAGTTAATCTGGAGCTTGTTGATGCCTGGGGAACCACAATTATAAAATGTTACTGCAGTTTCATTAGGGCTGGTTTATTTCTAAATATTATCCAGCCCCTTTTCTGTATGTAACACTTCTCATATTTGTCTTCAACAGTTTGGCAGAAATGATTCGATTCTAATACCTTTTTCACTGTGTAATTTAAATAATATTTTCAAAAAATCAAAATTTTTATTAATAAGAAGATTTGTTTTAACCATCATTATGGCTTTTCTTTATAACACCATTCTTCTAAATAGTTCTAACTGCAAGTCTCATAGATCCCGTCTATTATTCACTAGAAAAGAGGCAAGTGTTTTTTCTATTTTATAAATGATGTAACTTTAGTCTGCTCCCCAAAGTGTGGGATTGTCTAAGATATTCTTTAGTTTTATGGCAAAAAGCTATAGAGATTTGAATCTTAGTTGTTTAATCAGAATTACGTACTTGAAGAGAAAATAATATGCCTTCCTGGTATAAACACTGGTCTTTTTGGTC